TCAGTCGCGGATACAGCTGCCGAACTACTCAACTGCCTCGGACCTTGAGGTAGAACGACTGAGTCCGTATCCACCGCCCATGTGCCAGTCTGTGACTAGGGGCTTCCAGATTTCACAGTCCTGCCCCCGTCGCCACTCGCTGATCGCCATGGGACTTTGGTTGGTTTGTTTTTATTTTCTTTGGAAGACGCCTGTGCGTGGGTTTTTTAATGTGTGGAGGTCAGTGCACAACTGATCAACACACAGACTTCACAGAGTGAGGTTCCACTGGTGATGTAGTTTAACACAATGACCGTGGCTTCTCAGTCTGTTGCAGCCTTCTTCCGCCTTCGCAGCCGTTGTAACATGTGCCATGTTATCCTCCGCCTGCTCCGCCGTTGAGGTCTTTGGGTCTTCGGACTGTGCTTGGTCTGGAACCTCCCCCGCGGCCACTCCTGGGAGTGCACGACTCCAGTTGTTGTGCCTACAGGTTCATCGGAACGCGCAAGCCCCCTCACCACGACAAGGTGACAGTCCATCGAAACTGTAATCTGTCTCTCTCTCTCACCTGGTCATAAGCCTAATTGTAATCATTATTTCTTTCTTCCCAGAGGACTGTTAGATTGCAGTCTTGTGCACTCTTTCTTATGAGTATGCCCATTGAACATAAAAGGATTTTCCAGTAGCCATTCTTTGTGGAAGATGCTGTTGTCATGATTTATACGTGACCTGTTTGTTTGAAGCAGGGTTGTTTGTCTTGTTTTTCTGTGTTCTTGCTAGTTTATGTTATCATGTCAGCACTGGATACATTTGTTGGTTGTTTCTTCCCCATCACCACATCTTGCTGTTAAGAGTTTGCCTCTCCCTTCGACAGTAAACCAGAACAGCTCTGAATAGATACATTGGTCTACAACTCCTAGCCAGCATAGGCTATAGTGAGGGATTAGGGGAGTTTAAATCCAAAACCCTTTAAGACCTACAGCTGCCCAGCTTGGTGTGCACAGTACTGAAAAGGATGAATCATTGGTTGGGTTCTGTTTTAGGCCACCTCCTAGATTTTGAAATATGCCTACCTTGGAGTCAGTCCGGATTCAGTAATGAGAGTTAAGGCTAACATGTCGATAGTGTGGTGTACTGGTTTAAATATTAAACTAGGGGCCCTTCCACACAGCCCTATATCCCAAAATATCAAGGTAGAAAATCCCACAATATTTGCTTTGAACTGGTTTATCTTAGGCTCCTTTCACACAGCTGAATAATATCCCACATTATCTGCTTTGGACTAGAATATATGGCGGTGTGGACTCAGATAACCCAGTTCAAAGCAGATATTGTGGGATATTGTGGGATTTTCTGGCTTGATATTCTGGGGGCCCTTCTACACAGCCCTATATCCCAGAATGTCAAGGCAGAAAATCCCACATTATCTAAGTGTGGACTCAGATAACCCAGTTCAGAGCAGATAATATGGGATGTTCTGCCTTGATATTCTGGGATATAGGACTGTGTGGAAGGGCCCTGGGTTATATGGCTGTGTGGAAGGGCCTTTAGTCCACTCTCAGGGCTCTTCCACACAGTCCTATATTCCAGAATATCAAGGCAGAAAATCCCACATTATCTGAGTGTGGACTCAGATAACCTAGTTCAAAGCAGATATTGTGAGATTTTCTGCCTTAATATTCTGGGATATAGGATTGTGTGGAAGGGCCCTTAGATAATGTCGGATTTTCTGCCTTGATATTCTGGGATATAGGGCTGTGTGGAAGGGCCCTATGATTCAAATATTTGTTCATCCTGGAAACTCACTGTCTGACCTGGAAGCCCCCGGTGGTGCAGTGGGTTAAACCCCTGTGCCGGCAGGACTGAAGACCGACAGGTCGCAGGTTCGAATCCGGAGAGAGGTGGATGAGCTCCCTCTATCAGCTCCAGCTCCTCATGCGGGGACATGAGAGAAGCCTCCCACCAGGATGATTAAAACATCAAAATCATCCAGGCGTCCCCTGGGCAACGTCCTTGCAGACGGCCAATTCTCTCACAACAGGAGCGGTCGCTCCTGACATGACAAAACAAAAAACTGTCTGACCTTGGACACTTCATACTCTCAGTCTCAGCTGTTTAATTGTGAGTTAACACATAGATAAATGTCATTGATTTAAATCAGCATCAGGATTTAGTCTTACTTGTGCATGAGAGCTGCACTATAAATCACAATATCCTCACTTCAAATCACATCACTGCCATGAATTAGAATTAGACATACACTCTCTTTGTGGATCCTTCCACACAGTCCTATATTCCAGAATATCAAGGGAGAAAATCCTACAATAGCCGCTTTGAACTGGATTATTTGAGTCCACACTCAGATAATGTGGGATTTTCTGTCTTGATATTCAGGGATATAGGGCTATGTGGAAGAGCCCTGTGGCTATTATCTCCCTACCTCCACTTCATAATAATACAGCAGGGTTGGGCAATGTATGACCTTCCAGATTTCCAACAGCTCTCACCAGAATAGCCAGTGCTTGGCAGCCAAAATAATGCTGGCTTTTATTGAAAGGTTTATCAGGCAAACTCGTATTCATTTATAGTACTGGAGCAGGGAAAGAAATGAGCAGTGCTACTGGCCATCAAAGTGCTGGTTGGCTGACTATTAGAAGCACAGGATTATATTCCTGGAAAATGTGACTTATTGTGAACTTTGTCACGTTAAAGGCTGAAACCCTATGCACCCATTAATGAGAGTTAACATCTATTGAAATCAGAGGGATTTACTTCTATGAAAGCGTAACAGGATTTTGTTTCAAAAAACCCTCCTCTGCTCTACAAATTCAAGAATTTTTCAGAAGAGGTAAATAATGTAAGAGAAATGAAGGTAGAGAGTTTTTAGCCCCTAGCTCTGAAAAACCTGACTTTGAATCCTTGTGCATTCATCCATGTTTAGGCTGATTGATTAAGATTGTCACTTTTTTCTGATAGATTCCTAACTTTTTAAATTACATGGCAGTTCAAGTCTATTTGGTACTTGGATTGGAGACCATCAGGGAATACCTGGGATCTAAAAATAGTGCTAAGGAGGAATCCCACAGGAATTCTTAGCAAGTCATTGCTATCAATCAGAGCTATTGGGCTAGACAAGCCAGTGACTTGGTTCAATGTAAGGAAACTTTTTTCCCTGTGTCAGGAGCAACTTGAGAAACTGCAAGTCGCTTCTGATGTGAGAGACTCGGCCGTCTGCAAGGACATTGCCCAGGGGATGCCTGGATGTTTTACAATACTGTGAGAGGCTTCTTTCATGTTCCCACATGGGACGCTGGAGCTGACAGATGGGAACTCATCCCACTCCCCAGATTTGAACTGTCGACCTTTCGGTCAGCAGTCCTGCTGGCATAAGGGTTTAACCCATTGCGCCACCTGGGGCTCCATAAGGAAGCTTACAAAGGTATATTCTTACACTGACCATTTTAATGGCACTTGTTAAGATACTGTTAGATATCTGTAAATTTTGTTCAGTTTGTCTTTTAATAAGAACTACCCCAAATTTGCAAATTTCTTCATAAATAGGAGTAGAAGATGTTGAAGTTTTTTAAAAAAAAATCAAAAGTAGGTAAACCAGCATTTCTCAACTTGGGGGTCTGGACCCCTGGGGGGGTCATGAGGGGGTGTCAGAGGGGTCCTCAAAGACCATTAGACAACAGTATTTTCTGTTGGTCAAGGGGGTTCTGTGTGGGAAGTTTGGTCCAATTCTATCATTAGTGAGATTTGGAATGTTCTTTGATTGTAGATGAATGATAAGTCGCAGCAATTACAACTCCCAAACAACAAAATCAATCCACCCCCAGTCCCACCAGTATTTAAATTTGGGCATATTGGGCATTTGTGCAAATTTGGTGCAGTGAATGAAAATACATCCCGCATATCAGATATTTACATTATGATTCATAACAGTAGCAAAATTACAGTTATGAAGTAACAACAAAAGTAAATTTATGGTTGGGGGTCACCACAACATGAGGAAGTGTATTAAGGGGTCACAGCATTAGGAAGGTTGAGAACTACTGGGGTAAACCAAAAGCAGACACATTCCTATAACTGTGGTTTTTAAAAAAATTGCCTATGTTATTCTGTGGGAGACAGTATTGTATAGTGCTTTGAGCATTAGATTTTGGAGACTAGGGTTCAAATCCCTGCCCAGCCATAGAAACCTCTGGATGACCTTGAGTAAGTCACACACTTTCAAGAGGAGGGTAAATACAACCCTCCTCTAAACAAATCTTCTTAGGAAAATGTCCACCTTAGGGTTGTCATAAATCACAACAATATTGTTGTGCACTATCAAACGTCCTGATTAACAAGAACCTCCCCAAGAATGCATTCTTAGCTCCATGAGCAAAAGAACCAGTTTGCTATACCATGAGTTTCAGCCAGAGTGAGAAAACAGCTTGTGTTAACATTATGTAAAAGAAGCAGAGCATTTTCCTCCTTTTCAGTGTGGAGAAATGTTAGACAGAGATAACTGGAAGGAGCTGCAGGCTATGCAGATAGCAAACATCTTTTGAAACAGCTGTAGGACTGCAAGAGCATCACATAACCATTGCTTAATGAAGCAAATGTAGTAATTTTGCTGGAGTAGCCAGCAGGAGTGTGCCTCTGTCCCGGAGGAAAACAATAAGGGGTTAAGTCAGTCACGGCTTTATCTGAAGCCTGATTTAAAGAGGGGAAAGCATTGATATCCTCCGCCTTCGCCTCCTTGTGTGGATGGTCGGCTCTTTCTACGGGATCACATGAGCATTTTACACTCTAGTGCTGCAGAAGCACCAGCTGCTGGTGGTTAGGGAAGGGCGCATCACTGCCTGGGTGTGTTTGCATGCACCCATGCCTTGTGGTCCTTCCAAGCTCCTGTTTAAAGGAGAGGGATCTCCCAATGTGCCTTTAAGCAAGCGGGTAGGAGCCTGGGACCTACCTTATCCTTCTCTCATGCTCCAAGACCTAACCATGTCTATCTGTTGTTGCCTCTTTTTCAGGGATTATGGATCCTCAAAAAGGAAATCAGGTAAGAGACCTTTTTCTTTTTTCATATTTTCTGACAGCTTTATTGCCTGTTATTTGAAATACTATGAGTGTCTAATGGACTTTTAGGTGGGAGGAGGATGGTGTGGGTGTAGCAAACAGTTCTTGTAACAAAGCAGGCAAAATGATGCTTTCATGTATGTTTAAAGTGAAAACTGTACCTGTTCAATCTCTATGTACTTGACGATGGAACATGTCTTTTTATATATGTCTAATTCAGCAAAGCAGCTACTCGGTGCATCTATGGGCTTTCTCTTTTGGTAGTTCTACACAGAATTGGAATCCACCTGAAGATCATGATAATTAATATTTAACCTATGGCAGATTAATCCCAATCCATTTCTATTTGACAAGATTGTTTTGACTTATTTGTGGAGAAACAACAGTAGTACTCTCTACATTTGTGAATTGAGTTGTATATGAATTGTTACCTATTGTTCCTATCATGTATAGCTGCCCTTTTTCATTCCTTTTTAGGGAGGCTAGCCCAGGACATTTTGCTGCCTGAAGCAGAGCAGTAAAAGTCTCTCTGCCAAGGTGCACTACACTTGAAGCTAGTTGTTTTGGTACCTGAACCAGAAATTATCAAATACAGCATCAAATAACAACACACTCCTCTGATATGATATTTAAAATTAGCTGGCTGACATGGCCCCCAATAGAAATGGCTATCCTGCTTCAGAGGTTAAGATAGAGCCACCGAAGCAGCCCATTTCTTTGGTCCTTTAACTATCCTCTTTCACTGCATGTCTCAGGGGCGATACTGAAGTGATCAGAGGAAATAATTACCAAGAGGATGGAAGGAGGGTGCTCTTGGGAGCAATTAAGCAGATGGATAACTTTGCTGCAGTCCTTAAAGGCAGGCTGAATCTGCAGTTCTGCAAGCATGCTTGTTTCAGTGTAGCTCTGTTGAAGTGAGCAGGATCTACTTCTGAACAACTATGCATAGGCTGGAGCTGCTTGTGGACTATCATCAAAATATCTTCAAGAAACCCTCCTCCAAAGATTATTTGTGGAGTTACCTGTTTTGTTTCCTGATGAATTTTCCCCCTTTAACAAACAGTAAAAAAGACCCCCAGAAATGTGACAAATGTTATTTCCCAGATACAAAATGTAATGGTAGAGAATTGTGCATACATTGACATTCACAGTGCAGTGCATTCACTACATAGTTTTGCCTGAAACATTTCATACTACTGTGGTTTATTGCATCATTATCTCTTATCTGCAGGACAGTGATTCATTAGATATCTACAATGAATACTCTCCAAAGGGGTGCTAGAAGTACAATCCTATCTATGTCTACTTAGAAAAGCATTGTATTAAACTCAATGATGTTTGTTCTTCTGTAGATATGATTAGTATTGCCAGCTGAATGTGGATTGAATAGGGATGTGCGGTTTACCTTGGTAGATAGCTGCAGCATTGCCAACATGGCATCCAGTTTATATTCAGCTGTATTGGCAAAGTTGCTGGGACTTATAGTTTGATGGCATCCAGAAGGTCACATTTTGATCCTGTGTTGTAATTTCTAGACCAGGAATAAAGTGTGGCCCTTCAGAGGTCTTGCCTTACAATTTTTACATGGTCAATATAGGAGGTGTAACCCAAAAGTCTGGAAAGCCAAATGCTCCCTTTCATAAACTAAGAATGCCAGTCAAGCAAATGAAACCCCAGTGAAAGCGGGAAAGAGAACCAAATTAGTTCAACCCTGAGTGAACATTCATATTAACGCAGTTTCGCCATTGTGCATGTAGGAATCTGAAATATGTATTTCATATGAGGCATGGTGCAGAATTGTTCCACTTTCCTGTACCCAACCCTCCGGTGTGAGGACAGGGTCTGAAGATTTTTTTCTCAAGGTCACTTCAAGTGGCTGTGAGCAGAAGGTCCATTTAAGCTTCCTTACTCAACTTGGGGAGCCCCTGGTGGCACAGTGGGTAAAAGCACTGAGCTGCTGAGCTTGTTGGCCAAAAGGTCGCAGGTTCGAATCCAGGGAGCAGCATGAGCTTCAGCCCCAGCTTCTGCCAACCTAGCAGTTTGAAAACATGCAAATGTGAGTAGATAAATAGGAACAGCTCTGGAGGGAAGGTAATGGCGCTCCATGCAGTCATGCTGGCCACATGACCTTGGAGGTGTCTATGTACAACACCGGCTCATCAGCTTAGAAATGGAGATGAGCACCACACCCCAGAGTCTGACAGGACTGGAATTAATGTCAGGGGGAAACCTTTACCTTTACCTTACAATGCCAGGGGAAAACCTTTACCTTTACCTTACTCAACTTGGAGAGGCTGGGCTCAAGAAAAATGAATGACACCGAGGATAGCATTTGGACAAGGCCATCATGTGCCACATAAGTCACCTTATTTACTGTGCAGGCATAAAAATACATCTTTAAGCACATCTTTTTGACGGCAACAGAACTTACAGCTGTTTTACCACTTTCCTTACTACAGAGCCTACCATCACTTGCAGAATGTAATTCCCAGCCCAGTTGAGAATCATCCATAATCCCATTCTATGTTTTGCAAAGTCAAGAGGAAGTCAGGTTCAATTCTAGGCCGCATGGCCATAAATTGCTTAACCCTGACTCAGGTTCAAATAGGACTTGTATTGTCTTTCACTGATCAAATCAAATTCAGATATTAAGCTAGCTGGCACTGGAGACACACCCACATGTCCTGCACCTTCATCAAATGCAAAGAATGGCTGGGTAGAAACGCTACCCTGGATTGCGCCAATGCCTAATGGCTTTTCCACTGCTGTAACATTAGGGGTTTCAAGGCAGCTCTGCACATTAATCTCAAGTCACTTTATGCAACATTTGCTGTTTGGCAGGATGAGAGAAATTCTCTTCCAGTCATTTCCACCTCACTTTCCAGTGATGAGTTTGATGTGCAGAGGTACCAACCAGGGGAAAAATGCTTGTGATATCCACTGCATAAGAAAGTGAGATACATCTGTTGTTTCTGTCCTCAGTCTTCAGTCATAACTATGCTGACTTCTTAACAAACCCTTGTTTTCTTAGCCAGGATTGTTGCATCTGCCAGGTGGGCAACAGTAGTATTGGTGGAGAGGGTAGAGGCAGAAAAGCTTGAAATGGGGCTGAAAGGCAAGGGCTGAGAGTGGAAACAGGCTAGGAGAAACAATTATTCTAATATGCTCTTGTCAGTTCTGGGTTAGGCTCTGTCTACACTGCCAGATAAAATCCAGGTTATCTGCTTTGAACTGGATTATATTAGTCTGCACTGTTAAATTATGCAGTTTAAAGCAGATAATCTGGATTTTGTCTGGCAGTGTAGATGGGGCCTTAAACAGATATGATTTCATGTGATACAAAGTTTTGCAGGTGAGGAAACAAAGAGACTGAATGGAAAGATGTTTTTTTTTCCTCCTGTTTTTTGAACATTATTTTTTCCAGTAATGTTCTATACAACTTCATATGTCAAATTAAGAGGCTAGCTAATCAAGAGTACATTTGCAGTTTAAATTATACCTTAGTGGGTGGTTGGCTATTCCCTCACTCCACTATCTGCTTTTCCTGGAAATCCTGAAGACATCCTGATTGAATCAAGACTTTAACCTACCCTGTGAAAGTCAGGAGTTCAAAGGTATAATAAAATACAACAGCAGTACTTTGCAGTTACAGTGCCATCCATCATTTTAGTGGCCCTGTTCAATGGATCAACCAGAGCTTATAAGTAATACAAAATGAGTAACAGTGTTACATGTAATGATCTGCATTTGTTGATAACGTCAGTATAACAGCTGTCCCTTTCCATATTTTAATTTTTTCCCCTGGTTTCACTATCTTTCCCCTGATTTATAACTGCTGAAAAGGGCTAAAGACTCATAAGGCTGTGTAAAGCAAGTGATGTTATATGCCATCAAATTGGCTTGGCTGTAGGACCACTATATGAATGAGGGACCTCTATGGATCTCATCACATTGAGGCCCAGAAGCCGGGGATAGCTGAGGAAACTGTGAGGCCGCGTGACACTTCTTGTCCTTACTGTTGGTGGTCATGGGATCTTTTCCCACAATGTTTCCCTGCTGTCCCCAGCTTCCTTCCACATCCCCCTGAGCTGCTTCTATGAGGAGTTGGGTGTATAGTTGACTCCTCTGGGCTCAGCTTCTCAGCACAGAGCCCAACAGAGCCCCAATGGAAGCAGCCCTGTGCCATCTGATGGGCTCCAGGGGAATCCATGCCGGTAGCATGCCAGCAGCGCAGAGAAGGCCCCATGTGGTGAAGTGTAAGTGACTCTGTTATTAACAGCCCTGCTCATGTATTGCAAATTTTGGTCTATGGCTTCCTTGATTGATTCAATATATGTATAATGGGACCTTCCTCTTTTTCTACTGCCTTCCACTTTATTGAGCAATATTGATCAAGGCAAATATATTTGAAAGAAGGTCCAAATTGCAATGACCTCCTTTAGTCATGTTGACTTTCAGGAAGAGTTAAGGCTTGATTTGCTCTACAGTTGGCAAGTTTTACCCATACAGCACCTAAAAGGTTTTTTTCCAGATGTAACACCTCAGAGATTTCTTGAGAAAGTCAAGAAATTATCTGCCTAATAATGAGAGGGTCTCCTCCTGTTTTTATACCAGCTGTGTCTATGAAGGTCATGGGATAAAAAGACCCTCTTCTTCTGCAGACTCTAGAGCAGTGATTCTTAACCTGTGGGTTCCTAAGTGTTTTGGCCTACATCTCCCAGAAATCCCAGCCAGTTTACCAGCTGTTGGGATTTCTGGAAGTTGAAGGCCAAAACATGTGGGGAGCCACTGCCTTAGAGCTTGGGTAGTTTCATGGGGAAAGAAGAATCCTTCAAATAGTCTGGGCCTGAGCTGGATAGGTCCAAAACAGCACCTTGAATTGTGCATAGAAACAGGCAACCAATGAAGCTGGAGCAAGGGAGTTGTATGCTCCCTGTAAGCAGCACACATTAGCAATCTGGCTGCATTTTTTTTAATCAGATG